TTCCCCGAAAATTGCTCTTAAATAGTAATCACATTGCACTGCAGTTTAGAATACCATGAGTATTTTATTTGAGATCATGAGATCATAAACTATGTTATTACACACTTCAAATGAATACATAACATGACTATCCTAAATATTTTCTAGATCGGCCCTAACAGACCTTTGAAAGAAAAGAATTTCCTTAAAAAACCACCTTTTGAACCTTCTTTAAAATATACAACATATGACCTATATTCAATCAGTCTATAATGTGCACTAAACAGAACAAAAGAACCTATATTTCAACAGGCCTAGAAAACATGCCTGAATTATCACATATTAGGGCAACGAGGCGAAATCAATCCGCTCAAGAACTTGGACGAAAGTGTTTCAGAGCTTGCGATTTCGACGTTTTTGCAAAACGCTTTAGCACTTTCGCCATTTTTGGCGACTAAATTCACATTGCTCATGTAAATTTCTTGGCATGGATGGCTTTTGCTGCAGTCCAAGTTGATAGCTATGTTAGTAGCACTTGTACCCTTGATATCCTGATAAACAACATGCTTCACTTGTACAGCTGAACCCTGAAATGTAACAAGAACAAATTTATGCACAATTAATAAGAAATGGAATATTATTATTATTATTATTATTTATTATTATTATTATTATTATTATTTAATGTATATTTTTTTATTTTAATTTTTTGAAAAACCTGTTCTTGGCAGGGGTTTTCTTGATCACAATAGTTCTGGTCTATGATTATTGGGTTCTCAACATTTTCCATCTCTATATTCTGGAACTTTATGTTGCTTGCACTTCCAGACCCTCCCTGTGTACCAAATAAATACAAAAGATGGTTGCATATAATTAGTAAAGTACCACAATAATCCAAAAATTAAAAAAAAAAAAAAAAATTACCAGAAGTTAAATTACCTGCCATGTTTTGATTCTAACTCCATTTGTGGTGCTAGAAAGCTTAGCTCCATTGACCACAACATCTGAAACATACTCTTTGGAATTTCCAGAACCTAAGCTTCCAATACTAAAGAAACAAGACATTTATAACTACTATTGTAATAATAATAAATTCCTCACTATTCAGAACTAATTGTGGGTTTTGAATATGTAACCTGATGCCATGGCCGGGTCCGCAAGTTATATCCGTGGCCCGGACATTCTTCGATCCGTCTACAATCGAGATGCAGTCATCACCTTCATAGTATGCAATTATATAGTTAGGCATGTAACTAATTTATTAGTTATCCTTTGATTTATTTTAGATTAAGCTGCATTTACATTATTGCATACACATATGCATACGTAAAAGTACCTGTGCCTATAGTGCAGCTGGAAATTTGGATGTGTTGAGTGTCGGTTACATGAATTCCATCAGTATTTGGGCTGTTTTCTGGAGAATTCACTATGAGTTTCGAAGCTACGACATTTGTGCACTTGTCGAAGGACACGTGCATTTGCTGCGCGTTTTGGATCTTTAGGTTCTGTACGGCTAAATTCGTGCAATGGTAGAATGTTAAAGCCTGCAAAAAAAAAAGCGATGAACTTATTCACAAGGATTCATTTGTGGAATTAATGACAAGGAAATAGTTTAAAACTGCAAAAGAACATCGCAAGTGAAAAGGTGAAGATTAACGGTATACCGTTGGAGCTTTCGTGCATGGCTGCAAAAACGAAACGGAGAAAAGAAAAATATCAGATACATAAAGTTTCAAAATTATGAGAGTTTTCTTTTTATGAATTATGCTCACATTCGCTTTATTTGTTTTGCAAGAATTTTTCCACCAGATGTTCCCATTGCCATTTATTGTTCCACCACCCGTGACCACGAGATTTTGGACACTTTCGAATGTTAGCCAATGTCTCGAATCTTTAATGTAATCTGAACGATCGTTTGAAGCCATAATGGTTCCAGCAATCTGCATGTACACATTTTCATCACATGATTGATTTTTATGAAACATTCAAGAAAAACATTATAAGTTCACTATATAAGATGGTTACATGGGTATTCTTTTTTTTTTTTTAATCTTTTTGGTGTATTGATTTTTACCTGCATTGTTATACTTCCATCACCTTTAGCTCCAAAATTGAGCACGTTAACTGTTTCACCTGAGTCCGCAAGAAATCTTCTAAACTGCTTCTTTCCCGAATCATTGTCAAATTTGACGCCTCTAAGACGATGGACCAAATGAGAAGGGTAAGCCCGAAAATCATAGCCAACTTCCTCTTGTAAATAGTCATCACGATCATAATTGAGGCCCGTAACATGGCACGAGCTTAAAGCAAGTAGCATGATGAAGCATGGGAAAAATTGATTGCCAAAAGTCATTTTCTTGCTTCTTGATTCCATAATTCAAGATTGAACTCGATTATGATTAGTAATAGTCAAAGAGTACTTAATTTCTTGTGGGGTTTATTTTGATATTGTGGTAAGAAGTATGGATGTGATCTGACAGAAGTTATGTCTGATTTGTGTATTTATAGAATTTTTCACCTCAAATTAGTATGTCTTTTCTCTACGACTCAAATTAGTATGGCTAATGGGTATGGGAAAGATTTAGACGAAAAGGGTTTATATCTAAAGTTAGTTGCTGACTTTTGCCCCATGCTCTTGCATATACAAGTTTACCACATAATGATACTTATTCTTGATGGTTTCACTTGATAACGTGTCGTATAACGATGATTAATGTTGATTTGGAAGCTTATACTTTTTTTGCTATTTTATTTATTTCGTTTTCTTTCTCATGCAATTAGGACCATCAAATACAGCATGTAATTTGTTTGGTACAATTGTTAGGGTTGATTTAGGATAGAGGATTTGGAAAACATGACCATACCTCATATGTTAAACTCAAAAGCATGATCTCTTTCTCCTATGTCATCATATGTTAACCATATTAGTAGTTTCCTCCCTTGTGTAAACACGTAATATTGTATGAAAAGTAATCGACATTGAAAATTTTGAATTAGTGGATAAGAAAGCGTTAAGTTATTGTTACGTGTACATGATAGTTACTCGAAGGTATTCTGTCATGACGAGACATGATCCATGAATCTATAGACACGATTTGTTTATCCTATTTTTTCTTGTTCGACCCACGTTGAATGATCAATGTATAGGGTATAATATGGCAATGTGTTCATGAATCAAAAACTTTTTTGTGGATTGTGTAGTGAAGCACACAAACAAAAACCACAAGATCATAAGATCAAGAACTTCCATATAGATAACCTTTAACACTGTTAAGTTGGTCATAAGAACTAAGAACTCATTCCTTCAAGATGACAGATAAAACAACCACCTTATACCTTCAAGATTTTTATAATTAGTGTGGAATTTAAGGACCTGCAAATGAAGTTTTTTGATTATTGTGGAAATTTATAACTGTAGTCATATGAAAGGAATTAAAGATGAGTTTGAACTTTGAAGTGAAATTTTGATTCAATTCCACTGGTCTCTCTCTCTCTTTCTCTCTCTCTCTCTCTCTCTCTCTCTCTCTCTCTCTCTTGTGTGTTTGTGTGAAGAGAAGGCACACTTGGATTGAAAAAAAACTTCAGATCAAGTTTCTGGAATAGAAGTGAGGGAAGAAAAAGATGATTAATTTAGTAATAATGGCATTTTAGGGGGAAAAACAATGTTTAAATTGGGGTTGGTTTATTAATGTAGTGTAAGTAACAAAAGCCATATTATTTAAGAATTTCCTTAGTTTAAGGTACATTTTCTAAATTGTGGCCACCAACCATGTTCCTGTGTGTTGAATTGTTGAATTGTGTGTTGAATTGTAGCTTGCCGACTGTTAGGTCTCGGGCTTGCCCGGGTTTAGCCAAAGTATTTGGTCCTCTTATTCTCACTCGTTTGTTGCTCTGTACAAACGTTTTTATTGTTTATGAGATCCCTATCGTTTGGGAAAAAAATACCAATAATAACTTAATTGCCAATCTACATCTATATCTATATCTATATAAAAAGGTTGTTAAAATACTCTTTTAGAAACTTTTGACCAAAAAAAAAACTTTGACAATCTAAATATAGAAATTATATTTACTGCATTTATAATACACGAAATTTTAAAAAAGTCATACTTCAATTCAAAAATTTGTTTATTAGAGATATTATTGGGATTGTGGATAAGTCACAATTGGATCCATAATTATCATTACATGATTAATTCAAAAATTAATTGATTAGAGATATTATAGGGATATGTGGATAAGTCACAATTGGATCCATAATTATTATTACATAATTATGCGAATCTTTAGTTCAAAAACGATTGTTTAGTATAAAATCATATGCACTACCACTACTCAACAATTCACGTCATTCACAGTTTAGAAAAAGAAAAAAAAAAGTTCACGTCATTCACAGAGAAAAAAAACCGAGATAAATTTTACAGAGAAAAAAAAAAGATAAATTTCAGAACACATTGATAATAAATGCCACCAGTTTGGGATACACTCGATTCCGTGAGTAGGAGAAACAAATCTTTTTTGCAGTTGAAAGCAGTCCTAATAGTTGAAACGCATCACCAACGGGAGAGCTGGAACGCATTCTATATACTGTTTCATGATGAACAGGTAAATATTTATATTTGTAATGTCAAATTTATGTAATTTTAAAAAATATTTTAATTCATATTTATAAATTTATGGAAGAACTCATGTTATCAAATATGGTGGGATTTTCCCTCCAAATGTTGATATTTTCCCTCAACATTAGCAAGGAGCAAAAGATATTTATGATATTTAGAGTTTGGTTATTATGAATTTTAATTTCATTCCATGTCATTGAATTCCGAATTCTATAATAAATTTTAGTGTTATTATATTTGTTATCGTTATAAAATATTGTTGGATATTTTTTTTTATTAAATGTCGCATGAATGTGAAAATTTGAACATTTTATTTTTGAGTTCTACTGTATATTAGTTTAAAATTGGTAGAATTCCATGATACAAGATATAAATTAATACAATTTTTAACAAATATTTCGAATATAAGATTATATGAAAAAAAATTTACGGAATTAGCAATAACTGACTCAAGTACATTTAATAGATTATATTGCGTGATTTTTCAATAATTTATCATAATGAATTATATTCATAAATATGAATATGAATTTTGATTATAATATTTATATTAATTTGTGTTATATATAAATTATTATTATTAAAATTTTTACATAAAAAGATGGATAGATTTGTTTGACGTAAAATATTATAGTATTTGTTTGACGTAAAAAAAATTTCAACAATTTTTTTTGTATCACATTGGTATGGACCGAAATTTAATGGAAATATGTTAATTATGTAACGATGCTATCACACAAAAATCTCCACTTCTTAACTATTTTGCACTTATCTTATCATCATACATGATAAGGTTGAAAATCACAATTTGATTTCAAAATTGTTTTAGGTTTTTATTGATCGAGTATCACGCTTTGAATTCCATTTGAATTCAAAATTGGTGTATTTTTTATTTGAACAAAAACATTTACGGAATTAACAATAAGTAAATCAAGTACATTTAATGGATTATATTGCGTGATTTTTCAATAATTTATCATAATGAATTATATTCATAAATATGAATTTGATTATAATATTTATTTTAATTTGTGTTATATATAAATTATTATTATTATTAAAATCTTGACGTAAAAAGATGGAAAGATTTGTTTGAATTAAAATTTTGACGTACAAAATTTTTGACGTAATTATATTATTTTGTTTGACGTAAAAATATTTTCAAGAATTTTTTTTTATCATGTTGGTATGAACCGAAATTTAATGGAAAGGTTGATGGTGATGGTAATTATGTAATGATGCTATCACACAAAAATCTCCACTTCTTAACTACTTTCCACTTATCTTATCATCATAAAAATTTCGGTCCATACCAACGTGATAATCATTTGTGTTTGGATTGACCGTAATATATTTCATTTGAATTCAATGTCATTCATTTAAAAAACATAACAAATGCAGAGTCCTACGGTGGATAAATCTAGAGTTAACAATTTGATAAATCACGTTTTACTAATCTTATCATGATATTAGAGTTTGAATTTATTGGAACTCTGAAATTAAAATCACGTGAAATGAATCTTGTCAAGAGAGATTAACGTGAGTCTAACTAATCTTATCATCTAATGGTTATCTACTTTCATCCCATGGCTATAAAATAAAAGTCGGAGCCTATATCACGTATCACAAAATCTCACACTATAATTTCACATAAAACAGAAAAATGGCGAGAGCATGGGGAAACATCAAGCAAGTAACAAGGGTCAACAGGCCAATGCTCAAGTTGAGGGTGGTTCGAGTTTTCCAAAGGACTAATCAATACTCATCCTATAAGGACATCCTTGAAATTGTCTTTCATGACATTGAGGTTTAATTCATAATAAAAAATAATGATTATCCATTTTTCTCATCATGTTAATTATAATATCTATTATCTATAAATTTTTTTTTTTTTTTTTTTTAGGGAGGTCGAATTACTGGAATAGTAAAGCAATCAACATCCCAACTTTCATCAATGAATTCGAAGAAGGTGCTGTCTATGCATTTCGAAACTATCAAGTCGAGAGTAATATCGGAATGTATAGATCCACCATTGATAATTCGTGCTTCTCTAATAATATGGGATGAAGCACCAATGATGCACAAGCATTGTTTCGAAGTTGTACAGACATCGCTGCAGGGTATTATGGGAGCAATTGATCCTTTGAACTTGAACAAACCGTTTGGTGGGAAGCCGGTTGTTTTTTGTGGAGATTTTCGACAAATTCTTCTTTTCATTCTAAAGGGTAGCCGTCAGGATATAGTCAATGCTGCCATTAATTCTTCTGACATATGGAGGAGTTGTACTGTGCTTAGGCTTACGAAAAAATGCGCCTTCAGGGACTTGCTAATTCGGATGAACGTGATGAGCTTGCACGGTTTGCAGATTGGATAGCTAACATCGGAGATGGAACTATCGGAGGGTTGAATGATGGATGTGCACCTATAGACATACCCGAGGACATTTTGCTTCAGCCATCTGATGATCCTATTGCTCAGATAGTTGAAAGCACATATCCAATGTATAAAGAGGCACCCGACGATCCAAGTTATTTGAAGGATAGGGCTATATTAGCGCCGACGTTGGATGTGGTCGAGTCTATCAATCGGTACATGACATCATTGAATTTGTTGGATGGTCATATGTACTTGAGCTCTGACAATACGTGCAAATCGGATTCTAATAATGATTTTTTGTCTGATCTCCATACGCCTGAGTTTTTGAATAGTATCAAGTGTTCCGGAATACCGAACCATGAGTTGTATTTGAAGATTGGAACTCCAGTCATATTGTTGCGGAACATGGATCATTCTATGGGTTTGTGTAATGGGACACGATTGGTAGTGACAAAGCTATCGACTCACGTTCTTGAGTGTAAGATACTCACAGGAGATCATGTTGGTGATAAGGTGTTGATTCCAAGAATGGCCATAACTCCTTTTGATGTTAGAATTCCTTTCAAGTTCCAGCGGCGACAGTTTCCCATTATAGTTTCTTACGCCATGACTATAAACAAGAGCCATGGACAATCCTTATCTCATGTTGACTTATTTCTTAAGAAACCAGTGTTCAGTCATGACCAGTTATATGTTGTTGTTTCCCGTGTCACTAACCGAAAAGGTTTGAAAATCTTAATTTGTGGCGAAGATGACGTGCCAAAGAATCAAACCAATAATGTTGTATATAGAGAAGTGTTCAATAATATATGATTTTTTCAATTTAATGATATGTTTATATGTCTATTATTATGATCATTGGCTGCATAACACAATTTATATACAAAATTGTTTTTTACAAACATTCTAGATAATAATATCCCGGTGCATCGCACGGGTGACTACTAGTATATTGAATGAGGTTGATGGAAATATCATTTGTGGAAAGTTGGTAAAAAAAAATTGATCAAACCTTTGACTTAATTATTTTGGAAATGGTGTTTAAATTTTGAATTTTGCACTACATGTACGAGTTTTCATCGATTAAGAAATATGATATGGAATTTGTAAATCATTTATTGTCGGCACTATTACTAGAATTGCTGAAAATCCGGAATAAATTTCAACTTTTGCATTAGATGTATAATTCAGGCATTTAATTGATTTGTAATTGTTTTAAAAATTTGATTTGAAAATTCGAAATCATTTATAGTAGATATTTTTTACTGAAATCGCAGGAAATCCTTGATTTTCTATAAGTCCGATTTTTTTAACTTTTTCTTAAGCATGGAATAAACAACTTTCCATGTTTCATGCAATTTAACAATCTGATATGAAAATTCGAAATCATTTACTGCACCCATGTTTCATGCAATTTAACAATCTGATATGAAAATTCGAAATCATTTACTGCACCGCACCAATTTTTTAAAAATCCATATTGCGATTCCCAATATAATAACAAATTTCATATAAATTAATAGTTTAGAAAGAAAAATTAAAATATTTATTATATTATATACTATAAGAAATAATAAAATAATACTGATGAAATTAAAAATTAATAATTCTTGTTAAACTACAAAATAGTATATAGTATAGTCTTTCTCAATTAAGTGTTGATTATAATATTTGCCACAATTTTTCAACTTTAGCCCAACTTATTTAGAAATCGAAATAATATATAGTATGAGTAGGAGAAAATAGATGTAGAGAAGTATTCTATGAGGATTATTTATTGATAATATTTGAATATGTTAAATTTTATTATCCTTAATTATAAATTATATCTAAAATAACAACTACTCCCTCCTATTTTTAATAAATGTCGTTTTAAGAAGTTGTACAATAATTAAGAATATTTTTTTTTGCAATAGTAACCATAATTAATGAGGATAGAGATGGATGTTTTGAAAAAAGATGGAGAGTGAATATGAAAAAACGTAATGTATTTATTAGTTAGATGAGAATAATAATAGAAAAATATGTACAAAATAGCCAAAACGATATTTATTTAACAAATGATCAATTAAGCTAGTATGACAAATAATAAAAATAAGAGAGAGTATTTTATAACGAGTGAAATAAATATATAAATTATATATTAAACTATTATATATCCTAAAATAAAAGAAAAAAATAATTATTAATATTCAAAACTATTTTTATACTAATCAATATTCCTTCATTGATTTATTAATATACACTGATTGCCTATAACATATACCAAGCCATTCCCCCAACCAAATAAACACCTCAAAACCAGTATGATATAGAAACAATAGAAACAAAAAATAAAGTTTAAAAAAAAATAATAGAGAACTAAAACCCAGATTCTTTTCCATCATCTCACTTGTAATGAGTTAACTGTGTCAAATTGTGATGTCCCTTTTGAGGTTATTTAACTTCACTGCTCATATCCAAAGACCCATCTTTCATCAGTTTCAAGCTTAGACTGTTATATCGTTCGCGCGAATATTGTCTAGAAGCCTTTCTCCAATCCGTGCCAGCCTTCATCATAGCTGCAAATTCGTCGTAACTTATTCGCCCGTCCTGTAGAACAAAAGAATTTTATCCGGGTTTTTGTCAAATTTCTTTAATTTTTTGTTTCTATTTCTTATTATTTATGGAAATAGAATGCAATTTAACAGACCTTATCTGTGTCGACATCTTGAATAATGGCGTTAATGACCTCCTCGCTCGTTGCCTCGGCCTCGTCAGCAAAGGCATTCCTCAGCTCTTCGATTTCTATGTATCCACTCTTGTTTTTATCAAAGAAATCGAAGGCTTTCTTGAGATGATCGTCATTGCCCATTTTCTTCAAGTGTACAGAGATCGCAACAAACTCTCCACAATCGAGATATCCATCTTTATCCACATCACCCTATAAAAAATCGAAACTTGTTACATCATCGTAAAAGGAAGAAAAAAAAAATAAAAATAAAAAAAACGGGGGACCAATTTCGGGAGAATATGAAAGAGAGAGCTTCTTATGAACTTCAGTTATTTTCAAAGATTGAGAAGAAGAAAAAGAACTCACAGCTTCCATAAGGGCTTGAAGATCGGCTTCAGGGATTTGATGCCCAAGCTTGTGAAGCCCGGCTCTCAACTCATTAATGTCGATTTTACCCTTGTTGTTGGTGTCCATCAATTGAAATTTCTCCTTGATCCCGGCCACTTCCTCAACTGACAAATGCTCGGCAATTACCCTCAGAGCTCTTTTCTTTAGCTTATTCATCATAGAGAATTGTTTGAGCCTAGCTCTCACAGTTTCGCCTAAAGAAACATTAGGAGCACTCTTTGCATTCTGTAACCAAGGATGATCTGAAACAAGCCAGTTTCAAACAAGGATAAAGAAAAATATTGTGATGTGCGAAAAAAAAACAAAAAAATCATCTTTTTCTTTTTCTTTTTTTTCCAAGCGAGATCTAAGTTTACCTAGAACTTCTTGAGCTGTAAGGCGTTGTTTCGGGTCTGGATTGAGCATCTTCTTGACAAGATCTTTTGCCCGGTCAGAAACTTTAGGCCACGGATCTCTTCTGAAATCCACCACCGAACGAATGATTGCTTGAGCAACACCTTGTTCAGTTTCTGTAATTAAGATTACAATTTATGTCAAACAATATGCAAAAAAATGGGAGAAATGATTGCATAAACATTAGCCCCATGTTTAAACCAATTATAAATTGCACAAGTGATTAAGGTTATGTCTGGTAAAAGATAAGCTAGTTGATAGCTTATAAGTGATTTTCGAGTTTATAGCTTATAGCTAAAAAACTAGTTTATATGATAAAAGTATTTGGTAAAATTAGCTGATAAGCTAGCTAAAATAAATTTGAAAAGCTACCCAAAGAAGCTTATCAGCTTTTTAAAAAAGCTCGTCCTACCAAACGAAGTTTATTTGAATACTGGAAGCTTATAAGCTATCCAAATAAACTGCTAGCTTATATGGTTACCAAACATAGCCCAAATAATCATTATTTCTTATACTGGCTTCAGAACTGCAAATTTTTTATTTCACATTTTATTATTTACTATTATTAACTTATTTTGGCAGATATAGGGCAATATAGTGATGGATTCTCAACATAGGTTAGAACTTAGAAGAACTGACCAGCCCAAAAAGGTGGAAAACCACACAATAAGATGTAGAGAATAACACCCGCACTCCAAACATCGACTTCAGGTCCGTAATTTCTTTTGAGTACCTCTGGAGCCATATAATAAGGACTTCCCACAATCTCATTGAATCTCTCACCTGAAATTTTCTGTAAAAATTAGATAGGAACAATGAGAAAAATGTAAAGCAACTATGTGCTGAACATTTACCGGGCTTGAAGAAAACTGACAAACCAAAGTCAATGGCTTTAAGTGGTGATGTTTCCTTTTTGTTTGCGAATAAGAAATTTTCAGGCTTCAGATCACGATGCATCACTCCATGCTTATGGCAATTCTGTAGAGAAAACTGAGTTATTTGAATACATCTTCTTACCTTTTAGTTTAGAGCTTGAATGAGTGAAAAATGTAACTTTTTTTACATAAGTAATTGTCCAGACAGGAGATAAATGTTAAAACATTGTAAAAACAAGTTCCAATCACCTGTAGTTCTGCTTTAGTCATTAAAAGTCCAAACAAAATACAGGTTTCAACAGATCATAGTTGGAAATAAAGTAAAAGTAGTCGATAAGCACCACAAGTTTTTTTTTTTTACTTTAATAGAGAAATCCAAAAATGTAGGAAAGTGACCTCAACTATAAATGTGGTGAAAAAAGCAGACTGTAACAGACTATGATGCTTAATAAATCAGATTCAACTATCAAGCAAAACCATATTCCCAAAGCCACTTCATGAATTTGTTTACATTAACATCTTCACAGAGTAAATAATTACACCCATCTACCCTGTAAAAAATAATTCTTTTGTAGAAGCAATTATAAAATTTCACACAAACCTGCTGGAAGCTCAATGAAAACTAAAGCCTTCTCATCCAAGCAAAAAAAAGTTTCGAAAAGATTAAATAAAAAATAAACGAAAAAAAAAAAGAAAGATCGAATAAGTCGTCACCTCAATAACCTCAACAATCGTTCGAGTCACGGCAGCAGCAGCCCTCTCAGTATAATGCCCTCTTGCCACAATCCTATCAAACAACTCACCACCCTCACACAACTCCATAACCAAATGTACAGCATGATCATCCTCATAAGTATCCTTCAATCTCACGATATTCGGGTGTTTAGGCAAATGCTTCATGATCTCAACCTCTCGTCTAACGTCCTCAATATCAACTCTAGTTCTAAGCTTCTTTTTCGATATCGATTTACAGGCAAATAACTCACCACTGGTTTTATCTGTACACAAATACGTTACCCCAAATTCACCTCGGCCGAGCTCACGCCCGAGCTTGTAAAATTCCTCGATGTTATGCCCGGTTGGATTGTTCAACACGTGAGATTTGTGCCCACCGTTTGGCACATGGCCATTGCTATCAGAAGCAAATGGATTTGGCTTATGCTTTCCCTTTCTCTTCTTCTCATCAGAAGTTTTCGGTGCAGTGCAGCAATTCCCCATTTGAAAATAGATAAATGCTTTCCAAAAATCAACGTGATATATTTCAGGATTCAGCCGCCAGTCCCAAAGAACATAAACACAGATCAACACAGCCAAAGCCTTTGTTTTTCTTTTTTTTTTTTACTTTGATGAGCAGAGCACCACAACAGAACTATATAAAAGAGGCAAAGCTCTAGTCTTTAGGAATGATTCACTTTCCTGGAACTTTCAGCCAAATGGGGTCTCTCAATTTGCAGCATAGCATAAAAAGTAGTCAGCAAAAGATCAATACTTTATTTTCACGATCAAAATATATATTCCTAAAAAGGAAAAATAAAACAAGAAAATCAAGTGGTTCAAAATATGAAGAACTTCAAAACCCAACTACAAAAAAGACTTCAGATCCCTCGATACTGAAAATCTCGGGCAAAAAAGAACAAGAAACCTGGGATTCTTTCGGATGCTAAAGGGAAGAACTAAATCATATCAGCGATGCAATGCTAAATCCCGCATAAACATGGAGATACCTAAAAACTTGGGAAGCTCCGAAAGAAGATTTTAAAGGGAGTGAAAAAAGTTTGGGATCAGAAGAAGAAAGTTGAGATGGAGAATTTCTAGCGTATAACCTCGTGTGAAAAACATTTATGGGAGCTTGCCCANTATTTTTTTTTTTCGAAACGACAATTATATTATATAAACTAGAAAACTCAAGAGAGTACAAGAGAGTGCCAACTGACACTAAGGAACCAGAAAACCTGGACCTACCCCTTGGAACAACACAAGTGTCCAAGGGTAAAACCTCCAACAAGGAGACGAAAAACAACACCACGCCACAACACAACTCCAAAAAGAAGATAAAATTCCACAAGGGAAACTAAATACCAGACACAGCTGGACTGAACGAATAAAAACAAACAAAAAAAAATAAAATAAATAAACACAAAAGAAGACTAAAACAGTAAAACCACACACACCTAATATACAAACTAGAATTAAACCTCCCCTAAACCTAGCAAACGAACCACACGATCACCATAGCTGACAACCGAGTCCCATCCACAACCAAGAACCTCAAACGAGTAGCAAAACTAGACTTCAAATTCGAAAACTGCGGCAACTCAAACCGCCTAGACGAGTTTTCATCCAGATCTAAACCCAAATAGCTTCGGGATTGGGAAAAAGAGGGGAAGCACCAAGAAAATGAGTTGAGCCTGTTCATATTTTGACTTTTAAAGTGAATCAATGTCAAATTAATTTCATTTTGGATGACCTTCTGGAAGCCCATCAAGACACGCATCCGAAAATTGCAGAACAGTCCCTGAGTCACTTGATTGCAAATTTACCCCCTAAGTTTTTTTTTTTTTTTTGTAANTAAAACTAGCTGATAAGTTACTTTGTAGCTTATAGGGAAATGTTCCCCTACCCACAATGGTCACAAATTAATTTGTCCACCATTTATGTGGCATGTATTGGTTTGTTGGAGAAAATAATGCCCCATACATGACACATAAGTGGTGCGCAAATTAATTTGTGGCTACTGTGGGTAGGGGGCATTTCCTATATATGTAATTTTTGAGCTTAATATGACTTATAGCTGAAAAGCTAGTTTATATGATAAAAGTGTTTGGTAAAATTAGCTGATAAGCTAGCTGAAATAAAAAATTCAACTAGTTTATTTGAAAAGCTACATAAGATAGCTTATGAGATAAACTCGAATTTTTGAAAAAGGTCCGTCCTACCAAACGAGGCTTATGAATACAATGAGCTTATAAGCTAATGAAATAAGTTATAAACTTATTTGGCTTACCAAATATGACATGTTTGCGAAAAGCTCAAAATTAACGAAGGCACATATCAATTTTTATTTATGTATTTTGCTCAAAATTAGCAAAGGCACATACCAATTTTCTATCAACTTTCACGTTACTGTTAGGATCCTGGGATACTTGATTCTAGTTATTAGAATTTGAATTGTGTCATCTTTATTTAGAGATATAATTATGTTAAATTTTTTATTCATATATGCAAAAAATAAAGGAGTAAGAAAATAACCTCGATATATAGCATAAAAAACATATGATTGATGTTACAGTGAGTTAGAAAGTCATAAAATAGTTATGTTACACCTCTTGATCTAAACTAGTACTATTAAATGATTAGCATACAGCTTAGCTAATATTAGTAGAGGAACATATGCTATGAAAATCCATTTTGATGAGCAATTAATTAATTTCTTATGAATAAATGATTCTAAGTACATTTCATAACAGAATGTCTTGATTACATGCATGATATAGTTGAAAGATTTGATTTTTGACTTAAAGTGATGTTTTGCAGGTTAATTTGATTCATGGTGCGATACAAGTCCATTTCATCGAAAATCTTTGTAAATCGATCATCCGTAGTACATCATAAAGATGTTTAAATATTTAATAATCATTTGTTTCAATATGATATGTTTTTGTGCAGCTGAAGAAGAGTTAAATTAGATATTGTTTGTAAGAAAAAATTAGTTTTGTACCGATTTAACGATTCTACTTTTCGTAAGTAGAAGACTTAGGAAATTCTCAAAACCTTTTTAAGGTGAATGAGAAATTAATTCTAAGTGTTATATGTTAATTAATTGAGTTTAAATAACTCAAAGGTTGTAGGGTTCACAAACATTCTATTTTGACAAATATTTGGACGAATTGAACGAACCATAATTATGCATTATGTATCCTAGAATTGTAGAAGGGCTCGTTGGGGACAAGTAGGAAAAAAGGGAACTCAATTCCGAGTCCGTATGAGCTCGTACGAGCCCGCGGCGCACGGGCGCGCAACTAGCTGCGGAAATCAAAGGGTCGCAACCCTTGGTGACCATAAGGTATCTTTTGGCCACTAGATGCATCTGTTCTCGTTCGGGCACGTCCCAAAAGGTGTATTTTGACATTTGAACCTCTTGAAGGTATTTCCCTACATCTATAAATACCCACATACTTGAAATCATTAATGACTTGAAAAGTGAAGAGCTCTTGCATTATATTTTCAAAGTTCATAAAACATATTGTATTCTTTGATTTTTTCGTTGAGTCTTGAGAGTTCCAAACAATAGTAGTGTTCGCCGAAGGCTTGTATATTTGAAGTACCACTATATACAAGTCGAAAGTCGTTGTATCTTGGAGGCGTTTGCCGTTAACCGTGAGCATTTTACGGGGCAATTTCGTCTTAAGGAGAATGTAATTATTACGATTTTGATTTTTGTTTTGTTTTCTTCATTCTCCTTAAACCGTCTTTTTGATATTCACAAACCACAAATTTAATATTGTTCAATTTCCAATTGATCAATGGTTTGTTTCTCAAGGCAGACGTCGGCTACCAGGTCAAATTCGATTGTTTGATTTTTTTTATATATATTTTATTTAATAATTGTTTACAGAGAACTTGAATTGTTTACGCGTCTCAACTCCAATATAACCAATCTGGACAAGTCAAAATGTTTGAATGTTCTGTATTTTAAGAAGGAAACAAGAAAGAGAAAAAAAAAAAAAAAAAAAAAAAAAAAA